TGGGTTGCTGCTGATGTATTTTTGACCCTGACAAATCCGATAATTTCCTGCCTAATTTACACAAACAATTGTCGAGTTACTCGGGCTACCGATTGAATACCTCAAAAACAGAGGCCCTACCACTTGCATTTTCACCAACTACTTTATCTATTTTGCGCTCTTCCTTCTCTTACAATTGAAGCTCACATAGCCTAAGATAGCTGGGTATCCATCTTACTTCCCCATTTTTCTTCTTTATATGACACTTCTAACCCCCTTTTTAAACTTATGAGATCATTGTTGATGCAAACCTACAATCTATCGGGCAAATTAGCAGCTGTCAAGATGACAATCTTACCTAAGCTACTGTATTACTTTGAAACCCTCCCTGTGAAGGTACCTGTGTCCGCACTCGCCTCCTTACAGAGAGATGTTTCATAGGGGCGCCATAGAGGATCTTAACATGTGTTGTTTGCCACTTTGACCAGAGGTGGCCTTGTTCTTCCGAATATCTACTACTATTATGTCGCAGCCCAATTGCGAAATATACTCTGTTGGTGTTCTTACCGTCCCTTGACGAGATGGTCTGAGGTAGAAAGACTTTGGCTTTTCCCTTCCCACCCAAACGCACTTCTTTGGTTGAAAGCGGTGCATGTACTCATTTCCGCCCTACTAACATCTATGGTAACCCTTAGCGACCAAGCATACATTTTCCCATAATTTGGCCCCTTTTTGTATACTCCAAATTTGCCCTCTAGCATTTCGTCGCATTGGTCTTTTCTCTGGACAGGTAAGGTCCTTTTTTGGTTAGTGACCTTCTAGACAAGGTTTCTGGCACTTTTCTTCCCTTTTCCACTTTGCAACATAGATTTAAGCTTCCTTCTAAAGTGTTGTAACCCTATCTCCAAATTAAACATTTTGCTCAATCACTTTCTTTAACACTATGATTCACGTCTCGAACACCCTTGAGATTTTATGTTGCTCTCACCCATTGTCCAATAGTCTAATCTCTACCATTTATTTACTCCTTCTTACTCTGCACCCAGAATTACCAATTGACCATCTCTATATGCGTAAATGGGAAGAGTCTTTTGAATAACAGATTACCCAAGATCAGTGGGTTCAAATTTTCGGGGCGGCTGCTAAATCTTCTATTTGCTCACTTTACAAAAGAAACCAATACAAAATCTTCTTTTATTGGTATTATACTCCCGACAAATTAGATGCCATTTCTTCAGCTCTATCTCCGACCTGTTTGCGATGTCAATCAGCCCGGGCACGTTGTATCACATTTTTTGGACTTGTTCTGGGATTAGGCCTTTTTGGACCATGGTACTCAATATTTTAACTGACCTTTTCTCTTTGTCTATTCCCTCTGCTCTCATATATGTCCTATTATGTCTTCCCTTCCCACATATGAATAAATATTGGCGTAAACTGACTTCTCATATTCTCACTTGCAGTTCCCTGTTTAATTGCATTACATTGGAAAAAGTCTGTACCTCCTTCTTCTCCAGCCCTCTATGGCCGTATTAAAGCAGTAAGAAATATGGAGCTCTTAACAGCCTCTCTAAACAATGCTGACATTATTTGAAAAAAATTGGGAACCTTGGGATTCCTGAGAACTTGGTTCTGCAAATTGATTTGACCTTACCCCTCCTTTTTTATTCGTGTTTGAATTTTAACATTTTTTTTTATTGATGCTGGTGCCTTCGTGAGACCAGCTGGACCCTTCTTCCTCTTCTACTTCTCTCTCTTGTTTTTCTCTTTTTCCACTTTCTTTTCTCATCTTTGATTTTTTTTTTCCCCTTCTACAGCGCTTATTATTTGTCAAGTTACTTAACTTGTTTTGCATTTATGATTAGGCTACTAGGTTACTATTATTGCTATGATTATTAGCCTTACAAGCGTATGATATATGCTATATCGGTGGATGTCTAGGTACAGACTGAATTGCTTTCTTTGCAGTCATTTTGCTGTCTGTATTGAGATTTCCTCACATATCACTGTTATATTGTTCTTTTGTTTTGACTTTTGTACTTTTAATAAAGAAGACAATTTTATTTTTAAAAATAACCCGTATGCATAAACACATAGAGTCGAAGTGCACTGTAGGGAGAAGTTTGATGCCCTAGAGGAGCACTCATCTTGGCAAGATAAGCAGATACCAACCACCTTGGTAAGTTACCCTGTTACCCAAAGCATCCGTAACAAAGAATATCATATGGATGTCTACATGTGCTAGACACCATGGTGATCATCCAAAAGACCATTACTAAAGCCAGTAAGGTCAGGGCTTCGCAAAACTATCAACTTCAAGGATCTGAAGTGGGCAAAAGAGGAAGGTGGAAAGCAAGAAAAGGAAAAAACTGGAGAAAAAGAGGGGTAAATTCACCCCACCGCAAAAAACGAATAAGAAATTGACTAGACTTGAAAGAGATCAAGTCTTGAAGTTCAGTGGAGTCGAAAAATACCATGCAGGAGGACCAAGTGACCGGGAATTTGTCCCATTGGTCATGTTCCAATGCTAGCAAATGCTCAAGATGTGCAACACATTACATCTCCAAAACCCATTCGCCTAGGGTGGGTGTCTCTGGGGAATGCCAGTGGCGTGATATGACAGCATGGGCAGCAGTAAGGAAATCTCAAAGGACATCTCAGCGGATTTCAAGGAACCCAGGATCATAGATAAAAGGGCCTCCTTGGGGTCCTCTGGTCCAGAGGAGCCAGTCGCCCTGGAGTAAACCACAAACACCTGTCATCAGAAGGCCTTAATTGGAGGACAACTTCACCAAGTATGGGACATATGTCCAGGGGTGCTATGGCACCACCAGCAACAATCCAGAACTGATGGATACAATGGATGGAGAACATCTGGGCATCGATACCAGTTAGTAAAGATTTTCAGGTTCATCTCCTGGGATTTACAAGCTATAGACAACCTGTGTGGAAGAATAAAAGAAGTTTCCCAGTTTGTGTCAATAGCAATATTTAATTGACATTCCCATCTGGAAGTATAAGGGGGCAAGGCTGGGTTGGCCAGCGAAGAGAGAATAGTAGATTTGGGAGATATCATGTGGGGGAGGAGAGATAAGTAAAAGAAGGGATTCAAATGCTGTGGGACAATACTTGATTGGAATAGGGAGGTAATAAAGAAACAGAGTTGCCCTTCTGCAAACCTTTGGCCCACAACATTGGGTGTCAAATAAGCAGTAGATGCACAGAGAGGGGGCGTCGGAAAGCGCCAGGCGCCAGTGGGAGGACTTTTTCCAGACCCCAAATTTGGATTTGTGCTCAAAGATGTTAAGGGCCATATATAATTAGATATCGGAAATGCTGTATGACAATGGTCCCACAAATGCAGGGTAAGAGCTGGTGACGAGGGGATTGCTCTTTTCTGTGCAGGTTTTTTCCAAGGCAGAGTACACAGGTCAGTATCAGATATATGTTTCATTTGAACCCAGAGCTTACTATTAGCATGATAAAACCAGTCTGGGAACAGAGGCAGTGTGATACAATCTAACATCCAGGGCAATTGCACTCCCTTTGATTTTAGGCAAGAAAAGAGCCCTATGTTTTAATCATGGCCCTGTACAAATTTAGTAAAATGATATAAGAATCTATGTATGATATCCACCTTCAAAATGTTAATTCTCCCTAGCCAAGACAAGGTCTTAAAGTCATAGCTAGCAAGGTCCTTTTTCATCTTCTGGAACAACGCGTCATGAATTATAGACGGTATAGAAAGATGGGGTTTGGTAACATATAGTAGAGGGTCATCTGCAAAATGGGCCAGTTTAGATCGGTGAGAGCCAATAGTGACACCTGGAATCCCAATATTTTGACCGTAAAGCAATATTCAGATGCTTCATCGTAAGTACATATAGGAGGGGGGATAACGGACGACCTTGTCTCTGTCAGGGTTCCACCTTGACTTAACTGGTTTGCAGCATTCTGGCTTGGCTGCCATTTTACCCACCTGTGATTCCTCCTTTACCTGAGCAGACTCTGTAACGTTGCTCACTACTCCCAGGCAAAGACAGGAGAGCATCATCTGAGAAAGCAAGATAGGAGTTTCCTGTCTGAGTGATGATGTCACCCCACTATATAAACCACTCAGTCCAGTCTGACCTTGCCCTTGCGTGATCTTACCTGCTAGTGCATTTCTGCTGCTCTGAGTATTTGGATTCTGTGTAAGACCCACTCCTGGGGGGGTTCTCCTCTGGTTCCTGCTCCTGGCTTGTTCCTGACAACGCTGATTTCCTGGTTCCTGCTCCAGGCTTGTTCCTGACTACGCTGATCTCCGTGTTCCTGACCTGGCTTGTATGACTAACCGATCCAGTCTGAGTATGATGCATGAATAGCTGGGTTTGTATAGTAGTGTCCCTTGTCTACCTACCTTGGACAAACCCCACATGTTTGGGGTGTATCAGCTTAAGAAGGAGAGGCTGTAATCTGTTAGCATTGAGCTTAGACATTTTTTTTAGGTCCAGATTAATTAGGGAGATTGGACAATAGGTCTTTGTCAGGCTTTGGTATTAAAAATATTTTTAGCTTCCAGTACTTGAGCAGGGAAAGTACCACCCAGAGAGAATTAAACACCTTCAACAGAAATGGAGCTAATGAGTCTTGAACCAATATGATACAATTTGGTCATGAACCCATTTGGCCCTGGATTTTTGCCTGTTGGAGAAGATTTAAAAACAAATCAAAATTCCTCCAGAGGGAAAGGGGTCTCAAAAATCTGTGCCACACTACCCAACAGTGGAGGAAGTGGAGTGTCACTAATGTTTATATTGTATTGCTCAGTATTGTTTGAAAGTAAGAATAGTGCAGAAACAATTCCTAATGACTTGCACACTTTAAGGTTATAGTAATTTCTAGTCAGTAATTAAATATTATACCCTCTTCATTCAGGATAATATATTCTAAAAAGCACATTGAAGTATGAATTTGGAAAGCACCTAATATTGCACTTTCTCTTTAGTTCTGCTACTTCTTACAGTAACTCTCTTTTACAGGTGGAATGTTTTCCAAGACAGAAATGTCAGAGGTACTGACAGAAATTTTAAAGGTTGATCCAAACTTTGACAAAGATAAGTTCTTGAAAATATGTGAGAAGGATATAATACCAAACATATTAGAGGTAAAACTATAATTTTTCTCACTCTGTGTGTCTTATATCATGGATTCCACGGTAGCCATAACTAATATAACCTTAATAAAACTTATATACCATAGATAACATGTTTATATAACATATACAAAAAATCATGTAAAGAATTAAATAAAAAAACAAACTATAACCGCTGCTATCTAAAATAAAGATACATTACCAATGTGCTTGTAGACATAGCACTACCTTTTCCTCCCCAAACCGCAAAATAAGGAACAAAATTACATGCAGGTTCAATACATTTAGCAATAGTGGACAAAAAGCAGATGCAGTATTGGTGTGAAATGCAAGAATAGTGTATCAGTCACTATAGTGGCTTATATTCTCAAAAAGCAGTGAATCTGTCCTCCTCTAGGGTGTACGTTAAGGTGTTATTTTAACACAGACAACACCTTTACCTACACCCCACTAAAAGGCACTCGCTGCATGCTCATGACTGCATATATTGCTTTTTTCTAGCCATTTGATATACCCTCTGTATCATTTCCCAGTAGCTTTACAATGTAGTCTTAAACAGTAAACATAAAAAAAAAACTCTCATGAGGTAGTATGAGCCAACATCATAAAAATGTATAAAAACAGAAGAAATACTTGCATACACCAACTACTCACATAGAAATGATTACATTTCACATAAAAAAAAACTTCCAGGGGTGTGCTGTAGCCAAAAGCAAAATGGCTGCATAAAGTAGCAACACTGTCCTTACCTCAGCTCATATCAGCGCTCAGCACCACTTCAAATTGCATGTAGAAGTCTTACTGAATCAGTCTCACAGGAGACCAAAAATACTCCACCCTAACTAATGAAGTTCTTTGGTCCTCCAAAAACGTCTGCAGAAAATGAAGAAGGTAAGTCTCTGTCAGAGATGCCGCCTTTATCATCATGCAACAAAGGAGGGGAATCTGGGCTGAACAAAGACAAAGCTCGCTCAGCTCACATTTATTCAAAATGCCACACATAGTGTGGAGGCTCTGGCCAGTGAGCACCCAGCACACCACTGGACCTGATTGGGATAAAAAAAAAAGCCAAAGAGTATACAGGTGAAACTCGAATAATTAGAATATCGTGCAAAAGTAATTGCAGTAAGTGCTGCAAAAGGGGCCCAAACCAAGTACTGAGTACATATGCATGCTTGTACTTTTCAGAGGTCCGATATTGTTCTATGTACAATCATTGTTTTATTGATTGCATGTAATAATCTACTTTTTTGAGGTTGTGGATTTGGGGTTCTTGGGGTTTTCATGAGCTGTAAGCCATAATCATCACAATTATGACAAATCACGGCTTGAATTATCTTGCTTTGCATGTAATGAGTCTATCTCATATATTAGTTTCACCTTTTAAGTTGCATTAGTGAAATAAATGAACTTTGCACGATATTCTAATTATTCGAGTTTCACCTGTATCGTGCTATATAAAGCAAAGCTAAATAGATTGTACCACTGCAGAATTGTTGGAGCCACACCTCCGTGACAGTTTTGCATTGATACAGTGTATTTAGCATTGCTTTATATAGAGTGATATGCAGTTTGGTTTTTGCAGTTCCCCATCAGGTTAGGGGCTGGGTGCTGATTGGTCAGAGTGTACACAATGTCAGGGTTTGATTTGGTTTTGGGATCTTTTTATGTGGTTGGGGTGGTTTGGGTAAATAGGAGGGCCCCCACATTAAGGGATAGGTTGGTAACAAATGTTATAGATCCATCTGGTAGAGGTGTTGCCCTATTTAGTAGAGTAGGTTTTTACCTCTGTCAAAAACGTTTCAGCTGTAGGGCTGTTGTAGGAACAGTGAAAATAACAAAAAAAAGCATTTACATTTGACAGTTAATATTAAGACATATGGCGTTAGTACATTTATTACTTGTCACTTGTTGTTCTTTGTGACTATCGTGTTGGAATGTCTTTGTGGTTACCAATACATAGGTAGAACCACAGGAAAATGACAACAAAGGATTAAGGAACATATGAATAATATAAAAAAAGGGTATAAACATCATAGGGTCTCACAACATTTTAGGGATGTCCATAACAGGAGACCCGAGGGGATTCATTTTTTATGGTATTCGTGAAGTAAAAAGACATTGGAGGGTAACCATTTTAAAAAGAAAGAAACTAAATGGGTCTTTGTACTTGACACTACAGGACCTAAAGGGTTAATTATAACTGGATTTAGACCTCTTTTTCCGCATCGTTCAGGGGCTGGAGGGGGCGTGGCGGTGCTATTAAGTTAATAGCACCGCAGCCATGCCCCCAATGCCTGCATTCCGGTCCGGTGCCATCAGAAAAAATTGTGCATGCAGCATATTTTTGACCGGACTAGAACGCACGCATTGATGTGTCACACGATCGGGTGCGAGCGTTCGCACTGCGGCTAGGGGGCATGGCTGTGGAGCCATTTACTTCAATGCACCGCCACGCTCCTTCCTGGCCCTGAACGCAGGGAGCCGGTCGGGATGCAATCCAGTGCGCTCTGGCAGAAAATTGGTCCGTAATGCACTGTTTGTGGTGTAAACTAGCCCTTAATGTATCATTATTGACATATTTTTTTTGTTTTTGCTCTTCTCTTGTCATTATTTTTTGTTCTAGATTATTATATTTGATGTTTATTGTTTAGTTAGGTAGGATGTGTTATTTAATAGTGATTTATTTCCCTCCACAAATACATCACTACATTTAGGTATTGTTCTCCTGATAATATAATTGTGAGGATTGTTTTCTGCATTATATAGATTGGATGTTTACTGTTTAAACCTCTAAGGATAGGAGATATCTAGTGGCTAAATAAGGAAAAACAGCTCTACGGGGTTTAATATGGATGGGGAGGAAATATTAAGGACATAGAACTAGTCAGCATATGCACCATGCCTGACTATGTCCAATGACGAAACGCGCTGAGTTGGCAGGTATATGCTGATGTCACGTTCTCCTGGAAGTGGCAATCGGACACGAATTAGGTGAGTGCTGCTGAACAGGGATGGTTTGTTAAGCCTTTTGTACTTTATACACTTTAAGTGTTCTTAAACTTCGTTTAAAACAAAGTTTGTAACAGTATTACACTATGGGAACATCTGTTTATGTTCTCTCATGGAGTCACTGAGGATTGGAGCTGGAGCTATCAGAGGGGTTGCCGACCCAGACTAAATATTTGGGCTCCTAAGGATTCTTGTATATAGTGGTCATGTCCATCTGGTGACTGAATTGATCCCTGATTTCCACACAGAGAAGGGTTTTCACATATTAGAAAGCACTGTGAATCCTTGTGTGCATTTGTGTGGATGAACATTTAGCACTGATGAATACAAGCACTTTATATTGAAGCACTTTAAATTGTTTGCACATTGTATGTTTTTGTAAGCGTGATTAGATGTGCCTCATAAGATGAGATTGGTGTTTTATGTAATGTGATGAGATTAGCGATATTATTTTATTTATTAGGAGATTTAAGCATATTAACCATATTGCATTTATGGTCACACATTGAGATTATTAATTATTTATAATTGTTGGTTTGTTATTTCATAGGTTACTTTGGTTTGAGTGCAGTTCAATTTTCTATCTTATTATCGTATGTAAGTGGTGGATGTCACTTTGCACACAGCTGCTGAGATATTTTCAATTGAACAGTCTGGTTAGAGGCACAGACATTTTTTGCATTATTTTGGTTTGGGTAATTGTACACTCCTTGCTTGTAGTATAGTAGTAGTATATATGGAATATCAACATTGTTTTTAATCTGTTGCCTGAAAATAAAAGAGCTGTTTTTTTGCACAGATACTTATTCTTTCACAAACGTTTTATTAAAGAAATTAAAGGAATACACATATTAAAACTTTCAAAAATGAAAAAGCAAACAGGACAAATAGTGGGTAATAACAGTCAATAACGAATAAAAAGGCAAAATTAAGTTAAGCCGAAGACGGCTATCCAATAGTGTAATTGAGAGTCACACAAATGATAATACAAAGTTAACAAGTTTCCAAAAAGGTATTGGGTAAGTTGTATGGATGAAAGTAAAGTCAGTGCAGTTGGGGGTGTGGCTTGCGGCCTGATGTAGTGGGACGATGGATGCGAACTCTCTGGCGACATCTTGTTTGTTTGATCTCCAGCTTACCCAGGCGTGTGGGGACCTTCTGTCCCGCCGTTTTTCGGGCTCTAGTCCTGGACGCCCTGCTACATTCTGTTTCTTGGGCTTTGCTGTCTTGGACTGGCAGGGATGCTCAGTGGCGGTCAGTGACGTGGCCGCTTCGCATAGCGGAGACTGCGATGCCCCGGGGAGAAAAAAAGACGAAAGGTCTTTCAGCTGCGTGTCAGGAATTCAATTTTCAGTGCCGTGTGATGATGCGGAGGCAGACGCTGAGCCGCCGTCTCCCGGCAAGCCAGCACGAGACAATTGTATGGAAGCCGCTAAGCTAAGCAGCTGGATAGTTTTATTAGGCATGTTGCCATTCTACTGCAGACACCTACAGATCCCACTCACAGATCAAAGCTCTGGTGGGGAGAGTTAAAATGTCAATGCAAAGGAATGCTGTAAATACCTTTTCAAGATGATGATATTGAAAATCGGCTACGGAGAAATAATATACATATCCCAGAAAGGACAGAGGGTAATATCTTAATTGCCTTTCTGAAAATTGGCTTTTAGAGATATTTGGTAAAGAAAATTTATCTTCAGTATTTGGGGGGAAAGAGCATATAGGATTCCATCACGGAAGCTTCCTCTGGGAAATCCACCACGTCTTATGTTAATTAGACTATTGAATTATCAGGATAAAGAGAAGATTCTGTGCAGAGTCAGGGAAAAAGGTGACATTATATTTGCAGGCAAATAAAATTATGTTTTTCCCTGACTTTTCACAAGAAACTCAGAAGAAGAGAGTAAAGTTCCAGGAGGTTAAAAAAACGTCTTCAACAAATGCGTTTTACATATTCAATGCTTTACCCTGCTAAATTATGGGTGTTAGCAGTAGAAACT